TTATTATTATTATTATTATTATTATTATTATTATTATTATTATTATTATTTATTTCCGTTAACTATTATTGGGAGAAATGTTTCAATGAGAGCTATGGAAAAAAAAAAAAAAAACAAGGTGAAAAGAGATCGTTAATATATATATATATATTATCTTCTTTGTTTATATACTTTTTTTCTATTCAGTTTGGCAATTCCCGTATTTCCTTTTCAGTAAAGTTGCAAAATGAACATTTAAAGCAAATATTGACGATAATAACAATATTGACCGGTATTCTTCTATGTTTTTCTTCTTTTATTTTTCTTCTCTACTAGGTAATAGCAAGGAATAGATGTCCACTTTTCGTTAGTGTATACAAGTACATATATTGGCGTGCGTATATTATTGATAGATAGAAAGGTGCACTATAAGCACCTTAACTGATAAAGAGGAATATACTATGTCCATATGTATTTTTAAACAAATTTGGGTTTTATCAGTGATGTTTGACTTTTTTTTCTACTATAATATATATATATATATATATATGCGTTTATTGTTGATATTTATTGCTATTTTGATGGTGTTTACATCTTTATTTTACCCTTTCAATCAATAAGATTCTCATTAGGATTGAAAAAAAAAAAAAAAAAGTTAAATAAAACTATCAGAGGTGCATAATAGTATATAGGCTACATCTCTACTTAAAAACAAACTCACGTAAAAGAAAAAGAAAAAAGGAAATATATATTTAGATATATCAGGATAATAAAGTGCCAATCGAAAGAGAACATGTTCAAGTGTGCGACTCGTGTTTTCTTAGCCACCAAGACTATCCCCCTCAACCCACAAAAACCTTTCAAGTTACATACTGCTGGTCGTGATGATTTGCCACCTGTTCCTACAACTGCGACATACGACCCAGAGCAAATGAAGGCGGGTCTCGAAATGATGTTCCGTATTCGCCGTATGGAATCACTCAGTGATCAGTCATACAAACTCAAGAAAATTCGCGGTTTCTGTCACCTGTACATTGGACAAGAGGCTATCCCTGTTGGTATGGAGAATGTTCTCACATTTGACGACCCTATTGTAACAGGCTACCGCGATCACGCATGGTACTTGGCACGTGGTGGTACCCCTCAGGAAGTGTTCGCAGAGATGTTCGGCAGGGAGAGTGGATGCTCCAAGGGAAAAGGTGGCAGTATGCATATGTACAAGGTGAAGAATAACTTCTACGGTGGTAATGGTATCGTTGGTGCACAAGTGCCTCTTGGTGCTGGTCTTGCTTGGCGTTACGCATTGGAAAACCGTGATAAGCCATCTAATGTGGCTGTTACATTTTACGGTGACGGTGCTGCAAACCAGGGACAAGTGTTTGAGGCGATGAACTTTGCAGCATTGCAACGCATTCCTGTGATTTTCTGTTGTGAAAACAACCAATTTGGTATGGGTACAAGCAAAGAGCGTGCCTCATATCAACCTGAAATGTACCGTCGTGGAGATTACATCCCTGGAATTCGTGTGGATGGTATGGATGTTCTTGCAGTTCAAGAGGGTACACGATGGGCAAAGGAATGGTGTCTCTCTGGTAAGGGACCTATCGTAATTGAGTTTGACTCATACCGTTACGTTGGTCACTCCATGAGTGACCCTGATAGTCAGTATCGTACAAAGAGTGACATTCAAGAAGTTCGTAAGACACGTGATTGTATTCACAAAATGAAAGATTTCATGCTTCAGGAGGGACTTATGACAGAAGATGAGATGACAAAACTTGAAAAGGATGTGAAAAAGGAAGTGGATAAACAGCTACAGATGGCGGAAAAGCAGAAGCCAGCACCACTTAGCGAACTCTTCCAAGATATTTACACTGGCGAGCAATACGAACATCGTACAACACAGGGAACTGTATATGCTAAGCCATGAAAACTCCCTAAAAGGTATTAGTTGCTAAGTAAAATGGGTCTAAAAAGAAAAAAAAAAATAAATATATAAATATATATGTATGTATTTATATTTATCTTTATAAAGGGTTTTTAGGAGTTCCGCACGATATTTTCCTACTTGTATGTTAACATTGAGGAGCTTTTTCTTGTGTTACGTGTGGTAGAAGTGAAAGAGGAGAGAATACAAAAATAAAATAGGGAGATGATAAACGATGCCTTTATATGGTTATTTGATATTTTTGCGTGGATTGTATTCCTTGTAATCAACTCTTTTTTTTATTTATTTATTGTTACTCTTCTTTCTTGGCTTCGTATTTTCATTATTATGCACATTGTATCCACTCTAATTACTATCACTACTAGTTCCGCTCCCAATTAAATGAGTTTTTTTTTTCGTTTTGTTCACGCGGAAATCGTAGAGGAAGAGGTACGGAAAAAAAAAACAACAAAAACAACAACAGCAACCGAAAAACAGGGGAAATATGTGGCGGTACTGTCGTTTTGTCTCGTTTGTTTTTTATTTTATTTGGTTTACTTGTTTGTTTTTTTTCTTTGTAGACCCTTTTGCATTTTTTATTTTATCTGATTGGTTCTTACCTTTACAGGAGTTCTTTTTTTTTTTTTTTTTTTGTCTCGGTTCATATTTCTTGATTAACAAGGGAAAGATAGAAAAATAGACATTAGTTTTCTTTTCGTTCTTATAATTTTCAAAAGTTTTATTTTAATGAGACGACATCATTTTATCGCGTTATTTTTAACACCAAGTTGTTGTAGTCGTTCTTCCTTACTATTATTACCAGTGACTATGGTAATACCGCGTAGATTTGAGCGCCTTCCCTCTGGGCGAGTGCGGCTACCTAGGAAGGAGTCTAGTCTCTCTTCCACTTCTTCTTCATCTTCGTCAGAGCATGGATCTACTGGGAAAGTATTTGTGAACACCACTGGAATGCCCGTTGGGGAAGTAGAGGAAGGTCGTCGTGGATTTCTTGGTTTTGGTTCACGTGCTGGGCGTAAAATGCCGCTTAATCCTCTTGCAGCTTTAAATCCAGAGATTCGTGATCCCAGTGAAGACCGAAGCACCTCTCGATTTTTACTTGCGTTACAACAGTTGAATGGCAAGCGAAGAAGTCGAGAACAAAAGATGACATTACAACTTTCAGCAGAACAAAAACACGATATAGTTAATCGATATGCACAAACTCGTTGGTACGGATTTTTGTGGTATCCTGCTAGAAATATAACAGAGCGACAATTTAAGTGGTGGCGTCGCTTTGCTCACCTTGCCCTCATTGTGCTGATGTTGTTTGGTTTATTCATCGCACTATTGCTTTACTACCGTGAAATGGAAACGGTACTTTTGCTGAGTCCTGAAGATCGCCGTGATTATCAACATATAGTTTCTGGTATGAGGTATAGCGAGATTTACCACCTTGCCATGGATGTTTTACAAAAGGAAGATCCACTGGAAGCATTACCGGCACCGGCGCGGTATCATTTAATTCTTGAAGCTGCTAGGGAAAAAGGATGGCATCAGATAGATTGGGAACTTGAGGCGCGTACACGGTATCCATATTCCCCATTAGATGAAATGGATTTTATTCACATGTTTTATTGGGGAGTAATTTACATTGGCTCTGTATTAACTGGGGGTGGAGAACTTTTCTCAGACCGTTTTGGCAATCTAATGGATGTCAAGGGAGAATATAGACGGCGCGAGATGGAAGAGAGTTTCGTGGAACACGGCCCAATGCTTTCCTCCTCACACAAAAGCGAAGAAAGGGGATGAAATACATATTTTGTGACGTGTCAGTAAGTGCAAGCCTTTCAAGAGACATAGTAAAATGATGATGATAAAAAAAAAAAAAAAGGTTTGAGACGAAAGGAAAAGATATGACAGCTGCTATGTATGTATGTAGTTGTTTATTTATTTATTTATTTATTTTTTTTTTTTGTGTGTGTCTGTGTGACGGACTCAGTCTGTATCGCCATAAAGGAAGGAAAGGAGTAAGTAAGAAAGAATGCAGCCAAACATAGGCAAGGAATCTTTAAGAGAAGATAACGAGTTTCCACTTGAAACACT